CTTACTTAATAAAATTTTCTTTAATTATAAAAAGAAAAAAATTTTGCCATCATGATTATATATAAAAATTGAATTATGTATCCTCTACCTTTAAAGTATTGATAATTAATAATATATATTTTAATAACTATCCAAAGGCTTTTTTGATACTGTCCAATATTTAAGTATCTAAGTATTTACAAGTGCCTAGAGCATATTCAAGCTTTAATAATTAATAAATTTATTTCAAAAATATATAATTCTATATTTTTTTAATTACTAAATATATTTTGCTTAGAAAATGATATAGATTATCTTATTAACATTTTAAATAATTTAATATATTCAATTGTTCAAAATTGTTTAAAGTATCTAAATTTACTATTCACAACTATTTTATAACAATACTATTAATAATAGTTTGTAAAATATATACTGAGATTTAGATAAACTCTACAAAAGCAAAAATAAATAATACTAATGAAGATAAAAAGCTATAAGTACTTGTTTTTGGGTTTAATATAAATTACTAAAATCTAGATTAACTAGATTGTAAATACAGAATGTTTTAACAGATTTACTTTAAAGATAAAAAGCTTTTTATAGAATATAAATCTGCTTTAAAGTTTTAAGTTAGTATCTGAAAATAAGAAGATACTACATATTTTTGCTTGGTTAAAAGGATAATATACATAGATACAAAGAGTTTAAATAGATAATATACTAATCAGATTATAAATACTATATAGCATCTAGTGTAAAACCTATAGTATATTACAGTATCTATATGCAGATTACTTAAATAAACAACCAAAAGTTGCATATATAGCTAGTTGTACTTTTCAAATATATATACAGTATAGTGTATACTATACTATAAAAGTTAAACTATAATCAAATAAAAAAAGTGTAACCAAAAAGTCACTTTAACATCAAAAAAAAAAGTTTAAAACAACAAAAGCAATAAAATATAAATTATTTAAATTATACTAAACAAGTTTAATTAAAAGATTAAAACAGATTATCTTAGTAAAAAAACATTTACAGTATATAAATAAACTAAAAATTTTTATATTAATATATAGCAAAATTTTTTTTACTAAAATAATCTGTTCTTGTTTTCTAAATAAATACAGTATGTTTAAAACATTATTTTAAAATTAATAAATAATTATTTTAACAAAATTATATTTTCAAATTATACTAATTTTACAAAATTTTAATTTTATTTTAAGCTTAATTTTTCTTAATATATTTATAAAATTTAATTTCAAGTTATTATATAGATAAAGAAATATTATTAGATTAAAGTCTAAATAATTCTATACATTTTATATATAAAAACATATATATATAACTGCGACAAAATCGGTTAACTGACAACAAATTCTAAAATTTAACTTGTATTAATAAACATATCGATATATATACTAACAATTATAATTCTGTATTAATATTTAATATTTTAATTTTCAAAATTACAAGTTTTTTTAAATTACAAGTTTTTAATTTAAAAAATACGGTATATTTCTAATTAAAACTTGTTAAATTAGTTATTAAGTATTAAATAATTCATGTAAATTTTAAATTATAACTTTTAGAATTATTTAAATATACATTGTAATTATTGCTTAAAAAATTTTTTTAAAAACAAAAAATACGGTACATACTATTTAATATCAGTATCAGGGATATATATATATATATATAACTTTACGTACGTGTACGTACGTACGTATATTGGTATGTATTGTACGTACGTACGTTCGTACTGTACGAACGTAGGTACAGTACGTACATCGAAAATTATTTATTAGTTATTTATTATCTACCAATTTATATTATCGATACGAACACAGAAAATAATAATTTTAATACATATCAGATATACAAACATAAAAAGATGTCTTGTGTCGATATTTAATGATCAATGCCGTAATTAGTTAAATATTTTTTCTATTGTATCATTTATATATGATTAACGTACGTACGTACGTACGTTAAAATTATTCGTATTATTAAACGTTATTTAATTATATAATTTTTTTAACATGTTTGAAAGAATTAGTTTTGTAAAATTTATATTTTATTTAACGTTAAAAGTCAATAATTGTCAGTATATGCTTATTATATACGTAACTGAATATTTTTTTGTATGTGTAATTTGTGAAGTCATATTTTTAGAAAATTTTGTATACTTTACGTACGTACGTGCTAGTACGTAAATAACGTAAATAACGTAAATACGTACGTAATTTAAAGAATTTTAAGCATACTTTACATGTAGAGATTTGTGAATTTTTTATTTTTTTATTAAAGTTTAAACAATGGTTAACTACACGAAACATAGCTGCATAAACATTTATACCCAAAAGTACATACGTACGTGCGTACGTATGTACGTATGTACGTACGTACCAGTAAGTATCAGTACGTACTTGCGTATTTCATATCAAATGTCGATATCAAATATCGATATGTCATATTATCAGTTATCAATTGCTACGTACGTACGTACGTACGTATAATTTTTATACCGATATTGTAATTGAGAACAAAAAAAAACCTCACATTTACACATTTACGTACGTACGTACGTACACATATACACATTACATTTTTACGACATTTTTTTAACTCAGTTTACCATTTTTTTTTTTAGCTCAGTTTAAAAAAAAAAAAAATTTTTTTTCAGTTTTTTCACAGCAAATTTTGTTTTTCAAAAACCTTAAATATTTTTTTTTCCTCCTTTTACCCTTTTTGGGATGACAAAAAATTAAAAAAAAAAAAAAATTTTTTTTTTTTTTTTATTAAAAAAAAAAAGAAAAAAAAAAAAAATTACACTTAGACCAAGATCATATAAATTTTAATTAGTTGAATTTTGCGTAAATGCAAAAAAAAAAAAAAAAAGGTAATAATAATAATAAATGGTATATAGAAACCAAAAACCTAAAGAAAGTAAAATAGGAAGAACTATAATAAAGAAAAAATACCACGCGAAATATAGAAGAATGGGAAAACGTAACCCCCTAGAAAAAAATTTTTTTTTGATTTCTATATCGTCTAAGTAGTAAGTAGTAGTAGTTAAGAGGGTAGTAGTAGTATAAAACATGCAAAAATATCCGGATTTCTACTGGATTCTACTAGTAGTATATATATTTTTATAAAAATTACTGGTTTACTAGTAATAACTTGTATATATTTTATATAAACTCTATAATATTTTGTATATAAATTCTGTATATATATGCTATAAGAAAAAGTCTAAGTTATGTCTATATGAATAATTCTGTACATTATAAAAGTGTTTACGTATATATAATAAACGCAAGCAAGTTATACACAAAAAAAAAAAGAAAAGAAAACGCACAAAGCGAATAAAAGCAAAGGAAATAGTTACTAAATATTATAATAAGGAGGTAACTGTCCGTTAAAAAAAATAAAGGAATTGTAATGACGAAAATAATGTAGTGGGTAATTTTTAAAAGACGAAAAATTGGAATACACGGGGTTATTTAATTATCGCAAAAAAAAAAATAATAAAATAACAATAGAGATATAGGACCCCGTAAAAACCAAACGGGAAAAAAAGAAGCGACGGAACCAGCCCACGACCTCATGTTTTTTTTTTTTGGAATTCCCAAAACAATAAAGCCGTCATAACACCTTCTTATTAAGATGAATAATATACTGTAATACTAATGCGCAAAAAGGAATATAAGCAAAAAAAGAAAAGATATATATGTTGTATGTATATATATTGTCCATATATAAAAAAAAAACATAATAACTTGAATACTTGTTCCACAAAAAGACCAAATACCCTTTAACTGGTAAAAGTAGTAGTTTTAAAGTTTCAGGGTAGTATAAATAGCATTCAATTGACGTTGGTCTTCATTATTTCTATCAATCATCTTTTCTCTTGGAATATCCTGTGGTGGTAACTGAAAACCATTAGCTTGAGATGATTGTGGAGGATAAGAAGCAGAGAAAGGTAATTGAGGAGCAGGGAAAGTGAATCTTGAACTGGCATTAGGAATATTGATGGGTTGCGAACCATTTCCAAAGACATTATCGGATGAAGGCTGAATGAAATTTGAAGGAGGATAGACAGGTAGTGAAGAGGTGCTACCACTAGCATGATGTTGTAAATAATTATGACGACCACCCATGAAATTTGGGAAATCATCTTCAGTTGTTGATGGAGAAGAAGAAATCGAAGGAGTTGAACAAGCAGATTGGGTATCAAATTGCATAGGTTCAGAAGAATGACGATGTTGATGAGCAGTAGGGTGAGATTGTTGTAATTGCCAGGGATAAGGACTTGGAGAGATTGATCTTTCAATGCCATTATTATCACCGAAGCCATGAGTATGTTGATGATGATGATGGTGAGGATGATGTTGATGATGTTGATGATGATGAGCAGCGTAATGATGAACGTGGGCGACACCATCAACATTTGAAGTTTCAGGATACATTCCTTTCGGTATAGGGATATTCTTTAATTTTTCATCATGACTTGGGATTTGAAGTTTTTCGTTTATAACATCAGCCTTAGTATAATAACAAATCAAATGAAGTTTTTGATGAGCAGTAGTTGTTATACTAAAGGATTGTTTAACAAGACCACCATGTTTATATCTGCATTGTTCAGTAGCGGACATAGATTTCTTTGTTACGGGATGGTAGGATTCACTTGAGTCAGTATCTTCACTTGATAAATCATGAGGATTATTAGAACCGCGAGAATTTGATTTACGTTTTGATTCCAATTCTCTATAGGTTAAGAAGCTTCCACTGACACGACTAGCTGACCAACTTTTACCATCAGTCCATCTTCTCATTCCGGCCTCACGTTCATCCCATACAAAAACCGAACCTGAACGAATAGAAGATCTTTCTTTTTCACTTAACCTTCGTTGGATACGAGATAGAAAACCTATCCGACAAGCTTCAAATAATAGAATAGCATCTTGAGGAGATTTGACGAAACCGAAATAAGTTTCCATTTTTTACTATTTTTTTTTTTCTTTTTTTTTTTTACTTGTGTTGAAGTGAAAATCTAGTAATAATAAAAAAAAAAAAAAACAATGAAAGATATTATTAATAAATAAACGATATATATATATTTGTAAAAGAATATATACGATTATATGACTATATGATTATATATTCGATTATATATGATTACATATGATTATATACGATTAGACGATTAGCCGAGTATGGAAACAAAAGCTCATCGAAAAGCAAAAGGTTTAAACGGAAAATTTTGGAATTATACAAATTTGGTAACGATTCTTAAGGACTTTAACGACTTTAAGGAAGTTAACCAAAGAAGGTAAAACTTAAAAATAAGGGAAGGAACAACCCCAAAGAAGTCGGGTAACTTTAACCAACTTGATAAGTTGAAGAAGTTTTTTTTCCTCGAGGCTTTTCAATATCGGATAGAATCTTGCTTGGACTTTTGCTTTGACTTTTGTTTCGACTTTGTAATGAACTTACTAATCTTACTCGGAAACAATCATGACTAAGAAAAAAAAAAAAAGACTTACCGATATTATTCAGTGCAGTGCCAAAAAAAGGAGGAAGTTGACGTTAAATTTTACTATGAATTTTTGCAGTTTAAATTTTCCGTATAATTGTTATTGTTCAAATATATATATATATATATATAAGTTCAGGTATATATGTTCAGGTATTTTTTTTGTTCCAAGGATTATTAATATATATTTCTGCGTCTCCGGGAAGGTAAAAATATAAATTTTCTACTCTAAGTTGTATTATTAATAGAAGTCTACAATTAGTTCCCACTATTGATCAATCAATGACCGAAGAGCAAGAAAGGTGAAAGTTGTGTAGAGTTTTATTTTTTTTATAGAGGTGAAAAGAAAAAAAAAAAAAAAAAAAAAGAAAAATTTTTTCTATAAAAGTTGGTCTCGAAATATATATATATTTTTTTTATTTTTTTATTTAAGAAAAAAAATGAAAAGGGGGTTGACGAAGTTTTCGAGCGGTGGTAGTGAAAAGGGAGTGGCAAGAAGGGGGATTTAAAGTAGAGTTTTTGTGGTTACTTATGTAGAAAATATATATTATAAAATAGTGCTATTTTGTATAAGGCGTTTTTTTTATTTTTTTTTATTTTTTCAACGTTCTCACGAAATGTTTACGAATGTTTTATTCTCAAACAATTAAATAT